CTTTGTATATAACAAAGCTTTATGAGAGTTCTATTCAAAAATAGATGAGCATCTCTTTTTAGGTGGATCATCTGTTGGTAACATATGCTGATCTTCCAAACCAAATATTTGGGATAGGAAATAATCTGAATTGTTTTTAGCATTAGATCCTTTTAGAAATAACAGTTGATTGTTTACTGCACAATAGAAGGTGTCTCTACAAAGCACTTCTGCTCCCCTTTCACAAGAAGATCTTTCTGGCAACATGCTTATTGGTTCAGAGAAGTCCTGGGATGAAAGATCGCTGTCATCAAAACAGCAAGGCTTGCAGACAACAGAAGGAAAGCAGTTTCTGTCCATCACAGGGTTGAACCAGGGTTGTGATTTGCTTGGGCTCTACTATCTCTGATGTTCTTAGAATGGATAAGAAGGTGCGACTGCAGATGGAAAGGAATTGCTTCCTCTGTTGGACTGTTGTGGAGTGAAGGAATGGGAGGCAGGCACATTGTTTAGCGGTTCTGTGCACCTCCCGTCAGTGAGGTACAAATCAACACGTTTGGTTGCCGAAGGTTAGTCAGAGCACCGTTCAGTAGGGAGGCATCCAAAGCGTATTTCTGTTCCAACTGTAAAAGGTTAAGCAAATACATGTTGGCACTACTGCTTCCATCTAACAATAGCAAGCGTCATTGATTTGGAAGGGCAGCGTAGAAACATGGCAAATGCAATAAGCTGCTCAGTATTAGCTGTCTTGATGGGGCGCGCTCTGTGTGGTGATGCCCGGTGCTCCCTGATGCTCGTTCTCGGAGCTCTGACGACAAGACGCAGCAGGTATTTGTGGGGAAGAGGAAGGTGATCTGTCACATCTGCTTACCTCGGAGGCTTTGTTCCCTCTTTCCAAACAGGGGAACTACTGCTGTGGATGGTGCTGGTTTTGGCATTGATCGTCCTGCTGAGCTAACCAAGGAGGATGACGAGTACGAGGCATTCCGTAAACGAATGATGCTCGCCTACCGCTTCCGACCAAATCCATTGGTAAGGTGGTCCCGAAACCAGAGCAGACGCAGTGACAAATCCGTTGAGGCTTTTGTGTGTATCTTGTAGGGGGGTAGGAGTGTTTCTAGTGCTTAGCCAAGAGAGAAAATGCTGTGAAAGTTTCTCTTTCATTCTGTTCTCATGCTTGAATCAAATTTTCGCTACCAAAACATCCATGGATATGCAGTTTTCCTTGCACTGATTTTTTTTTTTAATACAAAAGCTCCTGGCTTTAGTTTTATCTGCTGCATACCAAGTATAAATGCTGCACACAAAGGAAGCGGATGGCTTGTCCACGAATCCGTGGTTTGTTTTGAATAATTGTTTTCCTGCTTGCAAAAAGCTAGTAAGCTTGCATTTGCCTCTTACATTCATCACGCCAGCACACCTAGAAAGCTACATTTGCAATTTTTGATAGGCAAACCTCAGGTTTCACTATCAGAAATGTCATGTTTCAGTGGCTTTTTCAGATAATTAAGCTCAGATGGTCATTGTTCTGTGAAGACAGCAATGTTGATTAATTTTCTTCTGTTATTCCCCACAGAACAATCCACGACGACCTTACTACTGAGAATGTTTTGGGGACAACATATTTTCAAAACAATTGTAATTTTACTGTGAAATGTTATGAAACTGCATTATCATTCTCTTATTTGCTAATACTGTAAAACTTACTGAAGTCACAATACCATCTTTCACCCAGAAGAGGGGCCTGCAAGCCCACTCACTGCACACTCGAGTGTCATGACAACCGTGTCGTAACAAGGCCTGGGTGGTATTCAGAGAGGAGACCAGAGCAGGTGAGAACGGAGATCCTCACCCGGTGCCCTGCTGACGGTGGAAGGGTAGCACCAAAGATACCGATGGGAATAGTTCAGGGACTCCATTCGTGTTTAGCTCAGTGCCATGTTACAAGGAATGCTTTTTTTGCCTAATGGCAGATCCTCTGTTGTTCAGATACGCAGCTGCTCTGGGGGTTTTTTGGTTGTTTGGTTTTTTTAATTGCAAATGCAACAAGGGACTGTCTCTGATCCAGCTTTTGAGGCTATTGTTCAGTCAGGCTATTATTCCCTGAAGAACTGGGTTCTGATGCTGTCGTGAAGCCAGAAGTATAGTCTGACCTTCAACTGACATTGCAAAACCAGTGCCTAGTTGTTTTACCTCTGTCCTGTGGAAGACAAGGCATGGATCGGTGCGTGGAGCACAGCTGCAAGGGTGGAGGGGCGCAGGGCAAGTTTATTCAACTCCAGAGATGACAGCCTCTTGTTTTCTTGAACACTAAGTTCGCCCCCAGCTCCCTAGCAAAACAAGAGACTTGCTAACACTTTCTGTGGAGTTGGGCGATGAAGAGCTAAGCCTTCGAGCACAGTTTATCAAAGGCCATTTTGATTTTGTTGTCATAAGAAACCCCTCTACAAATCCAAGTTGTCCTCATTCAGTCTGTAAATAAAATAAAAAGCATTTGTTCCTTAGTTTTAATCATTGAATTTTTGGAACGAGTGGTCTTGCTGTGTAGGTTTCCTTAGGCTGAGAGACTGCTCTGGATCTCCTTCCTTCCAAGCATCTTAGAGAAAACAAAGTGAGGTTGATTGGTTTGGTTTCTTTTGCATTTGTTTTCCCTCAGTCCGAATACTTGGTGTGTGATTCTCTTTTGTTATCTTTTCTTAAGAACGTAGAGTCAAGGACTTGGCTTTCAATAAAAACATTTGAAACTGTAAATATTCAGTAGGGGTTCATTCTGAGAAAAACTAAAATGCGTGAGCGCTTTGCAAACACGTGGAGCTGGGCTTGCTGCTGCGGACGGTGTGCCAGGGCGCTGCGTACCCTCGCTGCGGCTTGTACACGGGGATGTTGCACTTGGGATGGCTGATCGGCACGGGCAGCAATCACGGAAGATTGGGAAATAAAGATAAGAAATCTGGCAGGTCGTCTGTAGAACCAAGCTTCTGCTCAAGTGATGAAAGGCACTGTGAGAACTGCGTTGTCCTGGTAAGTTTGGACACCCGTCCCTTCGGGTTTTTCCCTGCTGTGGCCGTGCCGCTGGGGCTTGGTTCCTCGCTGGCACGAGCCCGAGCTGCTGGGCTGGTGTTCCTGGATTACCAGAGACTGGAGCACCACAGGCCTGAAGCTGGGCTGCCCATTTCACTGCTGGGTTTTGGGTTTCGTTTTTGTTTTATAGAAGTAGGGGCTGGTGGGGAGCCTGCCGGAGAGTGGAGGCATTTTTAGAATTGTTTTTTACTCCAAGTGTAAGTAGTACGACATCCTTTCGGCACTGACAGCGACCTGGTCACTGCGTGGCCTTAAAGCCACGGTGAGTGGGCTGGCTTTCTGCTGTTGCTGATAAAGCTAATCTGATACTGCAGCCATCCCCACGTACTTCGTTGGTGTTGCGTTGGCAAAAGTTATTTTATTCCTTTATTTCAACACAGCGGCCTTGGTCTTCCTGAGCCCCTTCTCTTGATAACTGTGTTCATCAATAGGTGCTGTTTTTCCTGACGTTGTTGTAAGTCACACGCTGTTCCCCATGCCCTGCTGCTGGGGCTCGGTTCGGCGGACCCTTCGAGCCACTTAGCGCAGTCCTCCTCCTCCTCCTCCTCCTCACTGTCATTAGCTACAAAGCAGGGATTTAATCTTCAGAAACAGAATCAAAGAGGCGGCTGCTGCAGCATGGCCAGAAGGTCACCAAAGTTGGATTCTTTTAGATCGAAGAGAATTCCCGGTGCCAGCTGTCCGGCCGGCGTGAACGCACGGGTGGCTGAGCACGAGTGCCCGTGGTGAGCGCGGCACAGGGAAGCACCGTGAAATCACCCGGCCGGAGAGAGGCAAATGGGTCGGGGCTTGTTTGCCCCGAGCAGCTGTTGCAAGAGCTGGATGACTGAAGGGACACTTGTAGAGGGCTTGGTGTTTGGGAAGATCTGGAGGTTATTACGTCGAGTCACCCCAGATTATGTGGTTTCTCCCCACCTCCCCTTTTTTTTTTTTTTACAGGATGTCGTCGTGCTTTTGGTACATCTCCCTGTACAAATGGGGCTGGTGGGTGGTTTCTCAGCCACAAAGCCCCATCTTGTTCCTGAGCCCTGGAGACTGAACCCCCCTTTGCTCTCAGGTGCGCTCCCTTTGCCCTAACGAACCTTTCCTGGTAAGGGATGAGCCTGCTCGCCATCTCCGTGCTGACGGGGCGCACGGCGTGCGTCTGAGTTCCTCCCGCATGGAGGAATGATGAACAAGCCCAGGGCAAAGTGCAGGGCGGCCAGTTCAGCCCCCGGACTCTGAAGCAAGAGGGCAAGTGACACGGTGGCACGTTCGTGAAGGTTTTGTGAGGAAGGGGAAAGGTTGAGCGGCTGCGTTGGGGGTCTGCGAAGTACTGTGGAGGTTTTTAAGTGTGTGCCCGGATCTGGACCACTGAGGGAGGTCTCTCCGTGGGCTGGTGGGGAGGTAAATGCTCGTGTTTGAGCAGAGCACGAGAGGAGGAGGTCAGGGGAGTGCTGGGCTCCCAGCTGGATGTGGAGACCTTGAAACTCCTGCTCTCTGCTCGGTTCAATTCATTATTAAAGGCGGGGATGAAGTGTTGGCTTTCATGTGCTTCGCTCATTCTCTCTTCCTCCTACAGATCTGAAGAGCTGTGTCCTCTTGGCTCTTCTAAGTACTTAAGGTTTCCAGAATGAATTGGGGGAAAAAAAAAGGGAAAACAACAAAAAAAACCCCCACACAACAATCCTTGCGTTTTCAAAGCCTCTTCTGGAGTGGTTTTATCCTTCCCTCACAGCCCTTAATGCCGTTTCTCAAGGCAGCCCTCAAGCGCAGAGACCGGCACAGACCCTGGTACGGAGACACGTGTGTTCGGCTGCTGCCCGCTTTCCCTCCCCAGGACCCCCTGGCCTTCCTCCCCCGGGAACCGGCGCAGTTCTGGCTCTTTAAGGGCGCTGCCTGTACAACAGCAGCGGGGCCAAAGTCCACGGGCTCCGGTGGCGGCGACGGCCGGGCCGGGGATGCAGCTCCCCACCGTGCCGGGTGTGCTCGCCCCCTCCTTGCTCGCCATCCCCGTGGCCTTCGGCATCAACGGCGCGACCGCCCTGGCAGAGTGAGTGTGGGCCTGGGACAAAGCTCTGGGGCTGGGATGGTGGGTCCTGTCCTGCACTGGTCCTGGATGCTGGGTCCGATCTGGGACCAGGGCAGGGAGCTTCCAGCCTGGCCCAGGACGAGGCTCTGTCCGAGGACGGTGGGAGCCGTCCCACGCAGGACAGGCCAAGGGGTCCCATCCTGACCTGGAGAGGGGGGAGCA